GAGAGGGGGGGGGCGGGGGGGGGGGGGAAGGCAGCCTGCGGCAGGCTCAGCGCTGCCCTGCCTGGCCCGGCTGAGCGCCTCCCGCGGGCAGGGCGGGCGCCTCCGGAGCCCAGCGTCTCGGTGCAGCTCCGCGGGGAAGAGCAGGGGCGGCCCCAGGCCGGAGCCCCCCCTCGGCCGGGCTGCGCGCCGGGGGTTGAGGCCCCCTCACACCGTGGCCAGAGCCGCGCCCGGAGTGTGGTTTGTTCGGCCTCTTTTGAACGCGGGCATAAATGAACAGGAGGTGCTGCCCATTTTCATGCACTCACATACGTTACAGGTGGGGGTAAGCGCAGTTTTCCGGAAGAGAAGAGCCCGAGGAGCAGCCCGTGGCAGGTCACCGGCACACGCGGTCATCCTCCCTCTGGAGAAGCAGGAACCGGGAAAAGTTGAGCACAGGGCGTTGGAAGAAACAGAATCGCCCAACTATCTTTAAAAAAAAAAAAATCTATTCAATAGCATTTCTTGAATTATTATTTTAAGTTAATGCATCTATAATCACAAAACCCAGGTGGCAGCATTTAATTAAGAATTTCTCTCCTCCACGGCTGTTATGATGGATCCCAAACAAGTACGGGGGATGCAGTGACGGGGGAGACATCAACAGCCAGAACATTAGCCACGAACATCATCAAAATATACAATTCTACATGATTCTGGTATATAGTGTGCCTCCCATTTAAACCCGAGAGGCAAAAGGAAAACCCAGCCCTTAATTTTTCCAGAGAGACAGATCTTGCACGGAGCACAGCTCTTCACTCAGAGTTTCTCCAGACGGGCTTCACCCCAGGAAGGAAATCGACACCGTGGCACCTGATTCCCCCAACTTCACCCACTCGCTTTCACCACTTTTCTCACCTTTATTTTCCTTTCTACATAGTTCTGTGAAACTAAAGACATTTAAGCTTATTTAAAGCAGTATTTAAAATGCATGAATGTCACTTATTGGATAAAATTAATTAAAATGAATAAAGCTTGAGAGGAACACCTCTCAATTAGGTAAAAAGAAGTCTGCATGTTTCTACCGATTCTGTGCTAGATATACCTATATCTATATATTTATGGGATGAGAACACTCATTATTTTAAATCAGTTCCCAATCTTTCACAAAATCTCCCAAATTAGTGGAATTCTTTCTGAAGCTTTGGTTATTCTTTGCCCTTTTCATGAGAAAAATGTTTTCCCACAGTGCCTGGGGGAGGCGGGGGAAGTCAGCTATAGGAGACCGTGTCTTTAACCGAATTGATACGAGCAGAGAGAGATGAGACAGAAAAAGATAATAAACTTCCCCTACTTCTTTCCAAGTGGTGTTACCGCTACAGCTCGCCCACTCTCTCAAAAAAAAGGCAGTTTCTTCAACAGTAGGCAAGGAAACAAGTAAATGTCAAAAAACCTATCCCCCACTGATTCCAAGGGGTTGCCTTGGAAAGAAGGAAGCTTTTAACTACACTGGCACGGCACTGACTTTCAGTGCTCAAGGCTTGGAGGTGGTGGGGGGTGAGGGGATGAAGGCGCAAAAGATACTTTTGCTGTCCCTTCTCCTCAGTAAACAACTATATGCCTCACTGGAAATAAATGGAATTTTCTTTCTTACCAAACGGAATAAGAAAATCAGGTCCCCGCACCTCACTTCTGGAAATAACAGCAAATAACCTTCAGATGTAAAATTTCACCTTTGCTCACGTGATGTCCTTAATTTGGAAGAGCAACACTCTAAAATGAGAACATAAGTATACCTTGATTCAGCCTCCAGGACAGCAAGGCATTCAGACAGAAAAGTGGGAGTAAAAATGCTTGAAAACACACACATATATCAGAGGCCAACAAGTCAGTTCACAAAGTTCTTTTTAAAATTAAGAGGTGGCTTGTAATTGCATGTAAACAGTGTTTGTGAGCAGTGCATCTTTCACAGAAGGGACAGAACACAGCACTGACATCCAGTAAGATCCCAAAGGGAAAATATTTTGAGGTTTCCAGTCCTCGGTGCCTCATTGTTCTTTTATTTCCCGTACATTTCAGATTTGCTACAGCGTGTTTAAAATGCAAAGAAGAAAAAATGCAACCAGAGAATTCTTTTATCCTCGATAACTTATGGCCGTTTGTGCTCAGAAACCCTTACGTTTAATGCCCTGATGGTTTTCCCCAGCATACATTAAGCCACAGGGACAGTTCAGTAAACATACTGCGTGCAGATTTCCAAAGAAAGATAAGTAACCTTTCACATGTGCAGTCACTCCATGTAGAGAACAGGGAGGAGAAAATACTCCAGCAACTCCACAGAAACACCCAATACACCCTTGCCCTGCTCCTTTCGTTAAATTGAATACTTAGAGACGGAAAACAATCATCTCCCCCAATTCAAATACAACTGCTGGTCTCATCTCTTCTTGAGAGCTCCCCCAAGAACTGCAGGCTCCTGTCCTAAAGCTTGGTCATCTTAACTCCCCTCCCGCCCCTTACATCCAGCCAGAACTTCCCCTTTGCCAGTTTGCGACCGTTGGCCTCTCAGACTCCGACTGTGCTTCTCGGCAAAGAGCCCGGCTTAGTCCTCTCTGTGCCCTCCCCGCAGCAACCGGGGGCTGCTGTTCGGTCCCCGGGGCCCTGACTGCACCTCCCCGTTTGGATCGCCCGCAGACTTGCTGGGGGTGCAGGCACACGGGGAGCGCACCTGCACCTGGGCAAGCGTTTCTGCCCTGTGCCCTCCTAGCACGCCCTGTTCTCCTCACCAAGGTCATCTTCGCTGGACGATCCACCTCCACCTGCGGGGGAAGCATCTGCTTTTGCTGCTCCTCCCAGCTGCACGGTCACAGCAAGGCGCTGCTCCACGTAGGGGCCTCCCTCATACGTTCTTATTTGGGAAGACATCCAGCACTGTGTTGAAAACAGACCTACCTTTTCCTCATGTCAAAAAGCAGATCTCCTTGATGGCACCAACTAATTTCTCAGTTAAAGACCTAAGAATTTAACACTTGCAGAACAGAACTCAGTCCAGGCAGAGTTGCTCAGCTCTTACGAAGGAACAGAATAAAAAGGTACTCTTTTTGCAACCAGCTGGGTCAGACACCTTAAAAGTTGAGTGTGTTTCTATTTAAGTTTTCTTTCCATAATATAATTGATAAGACTTTTAGAATAACAGATAATGAAATATCTACTTTACTGTAGTTTGGAAAGGAATAAGTCCCAGCTGCATAATTGCTATCAAACTCTTGTTTCATACAGCACTTCTTGCAGCAGCCTGGTTACAGCTGACTGGTCAGTGACCTGCTGCTCATTCCTTTTTCCTAACAGCATCAAACACTCCTAGGGCCCGGAAAGCTTCAGGTAACCAGCAGCCCCCCGTACAAATGTAGAGTTAAACTCAGCAGTCCTTTCTCAGGGTTAACACAGTGCAGTAATAAATGATTCAATTCTCAGTCTCAATGTCACCACCTACTGATCAACTCATGACGGCAGAAATGAAGACTGCCAAGGAATGAAAATTTTGCTAATGATAAAAAATGATGAAATGGAGCATTAAAGGGAAAAAGAAAGTTCCCTTTATTTTAGCAGTTTAAATTGAAGGTGATGCAGGAGCACCCAGCAGAAAAGGTCATTAAATGCAAATGGTGAAGCCATTTTGCAGGTTTACCTCTTTTCTAGTGCATTTTACCAGATGATCATAACATGAGACAGCGACGAATGCGTTCCAGCTGAGATAAGATATGTGGGTCATGCTGACTTTGCAACATTATAAACCGCTGTTGGGGAGAACACAGCTTCTCTGTGAGGTAATTTACCTCTTTGGATGAAAAGATAAATGTGAATTAACAGGGAAGAGTCTGAAACATCTGAGCTGTGCTATCGATCTACTAAAGACCTCGATAAGTCACAGAGAAACTAATGCTTGCTTTGCTTGAGATTAGTGATGGATGGGATAGCAGATTTAGCAGCTAAGGGGCTATCACTGTCAAGAAAATCTTCGCACTATTTTTTTTTTTTTTTTAAATTATCCTGCAGTAGTAGAGAAAATATGTCCCATGGCAGCGGTAGGTAGAAGTGATCTTTTACTTACGACATTGTGGACCGTAAACAAAAATATTACAAGGAACAAAAACACTCAGTGCTTCAAATGTGTTCAACAAAAATGCAGCTGTTCCTGATAAGCAAAATGTGGTTTTAATAAATACTTAGCCACAGTATTGAGTTTTCAAAGAATAAACAGAATAAATGGAGTGTCTCAGGCCAGAAAGGATGTTTGTGTAATTGACGTGAACAGAAATTAGTCTCTTAGGGGCACCGTGTTCTTTGCTTTGGTTTTGGGCTTCCACCTCTGCTCAGTCCTACTGGTCAAGAGTAAAACCTGTGAGCTGTGCATCGAAAGGCTGACGTGACTAAAACTATTAGAATGAGTTTAAATCCGCAGCATCGTATGGCATGTATTTCTGGGTAACCTCAGAGTTCCTAGCATTTCCTATTAATATTTATTACTGATTTATTCAGGTTTATAAAACACCCACCTACTCTTTTGAGGAGACACACTGTTTTGTGTCTGTGACCACAGATGAATTTTACTCCACAGTGACATTACACTCCAATGTGTCTTACAGAGGGTATTTTTGCTGGTTGGACATGAAATAATTGTTATTCTAGTTAAAAAGGCAGGGTGACACCAAAACAGACTCCTAGTTTGTAGATAGGATCTTTAAAAATAAAAATTGTCGTGTAGTGCAACTACACTAGATTCTGCTTTCGTGCAGGCAGAAGGATTAGGCAGTCCCTTCCAGGCTTATGTGTTGACAAAATCATTTTTCATCCCACAATCTCTTACCTCCACACAATCCTTGTCATTTCTTTGTTTCCACATTAGCAATGCCAGAAAACATAAGTTCTTCTTGAAACATGCAGCCCAAACTCATTTGACGCTGTAAAACAAAAGTAGGGAATTAGGACGCTATTTCATCACTCATTTTCAAGTCTCTCTCCAGCCAGCAACTCAGCCTTTCAGGATTTGTTCAGGGTCAAGATGGGAAGCCTGCCTTAGGCTCTCTGACTGTTTCTTTCATATTTTCTTTGTGTGCTTCTGTTTCTCTGCAGTTTCTCTTCCGTTCCTATTACTCCAACCAATACCAAGTTTGTGGCTTTCTGCATCTCTCCCATCGATCAACATTATTTACATTGTTTCATAGTTTGTAAGTGTCCTACATATTCTATAGTTTCTTAGTATTTCCCTCTTTAATCTATATTGCAGTTCAATTGCTTCTTACAGGTAACCTGAAAAAAGGCAGCAATTACACCATCAACATCAGCCAGGTTTCGTACAACACCCAACACCCATTCAGCCAGCTGGGAAATGAGCTTTTATAGCACACTGGAAAGTTTGAACTTTCTTGCCAACTGGCTGCCTGGCTAGTAGATCTGTTTGGGTTATGGAACAGGGCATTTCTCCTATGCATTTGGCACAACTTTGCTAGCATTCAGTGATTAAAAAACAATTAGAGAGCCATGTCCACCATGCTCTTTTTAATCCAACTAGCAAACACTGGGGAGAATGCAAGCTGCAATTACCAGGCTTTTTGCTTCACCTGTAATCATTTTTTAAGCAAATGTTCTAGGCAGAGTTCTTCTGTGTGAAGAATGTTGTAAAACCACTGCTATTACAACACTTCTGGTTTGTGCAGCAAGAGCTTTCTCCACTTACCTGTCATAAACTCCTGTCCCCCATGAAGAAGAACAGAGATCATAAGTTCAAGCAAAAGGACTCAGTTCTTTCTTAAGAAAATGAACAGTGATGATTTTTAGTTGAGAATCTAAATGTTTATGGGTATGGAAGTTGTGTTTGTAAAAGCTTTTCAAAAAATTATATCTAGTTTAATCAGATTTTTACATGTGAGCTCTGATTTAATTATTTGTCAAAAAGTGCCCCTCAAGATAACAAGCTCCATTTGCAGCTTTTAATTTGGAAGGAGAAAGATTAAATACCAGACCTACATTTTTTTTCCTGCTCTATCCTATCCTTGTCTTTCCTGTGTGGGGTTTAGAGGAGGCATTTGAGTAGCCAACCTGCAACGAGCTCATCTGCCAAAACGCCCAACTGAATGGGGCTTTTAAAGGGAGTGTCTCAGAGGGAAACCGCTTGTTACCCCCAATCCAGTGATCATCACCACCTCAGCTGATTTTGGCCATCATTTAAGCACTTGACCAGGTCATAGTTTCCTTTGCAGTGCTTTGTATGCAATGCCATCAGAATGTACACCTCTGGAAGGAAGATTCATAATTTCCAAGGCCAAATGAGATATTGAAAAAAACCTGTTAAGTACTAAGCTTTATTTGTTTTCTCCCTATAGCAGCACCCACAGAAAAGTATACACCCAGTAAAAGGGTGAGATGGCATATGCTTCCTGGACTGCCCACTCCCTTAGAAGCACCAAGTCCAGGTGTTAGTATATAATTTCAACTTGAGCGCAGAAGAGAGCACCGAGAAACATGTTTAGAAGAAAGCAGACTGCTTTCATTCCTGCAAGGTACCACCAAACACAATTAATTCCAAAGAGTTCAGTTTAACATTTGTGAATAATTTAAAAACTGAGGAGCTCCAAAGGGAGCTTAGCAAAGAGCGGAAAACTAAGAAGATAGATGCCATTTGCAAACAACAGAGTATTTAACAAACTAATCCGTAACCATAACCTTAAGCCAACCAACGGAAAGGGCAACTGAAAGGCAATAGCAGAAAACAAACATCAGTCCCAGAAAGGGCTGAGGGCAATGTGAAAGTAATGCCGCTGCCTTTGTCCATCTCTTACACCGGCACTTCATCCTGCCCATCAGCCTCGGCAGAGCCCCGTGATGAGCCCCGGGCTGGCAAAGGCTCTGCTTCCCTGCCCCACACGGGGACGTGTCTGCAGGAGTCCTGGGGCATTTTTAGTAAAATCCCTGATGTTTTATTCAAGAGCCTTTAGACAGGAGAAGAGCACACAGTGGTTAATGATACATTTCACTGCTGATAAAACAGCAATTTTGTGCTCCAAAAAAAAAAATTCACCAGGGAAGTGGTGAATGGCCTCTGTGTTGCTATGGACCAGACAAAGCCCACAGATTTCTGTCTGAGGCATTCCCAGTCTCTTACCTCTCAGCATGATTCGTTTGCTGGGACCCCACATGCCAGGTCTGTTGAAAGGCCACACTGATGTGGGGCACTGCACAGCTGGGGGGATCACAGCACTACCAGCAGCTGCTGAGAGGGCTCTCGAGAGGCCTTCTTGGGTGGCTGCAGTTCAGTGCCCATGCTCCCTGCCTCGCGCCATGCTGCCCTGCACACCGTGGATCCACTACCCAAAACTGGGGCTCACCCAGCCTTGAAAGCTGTGTTTACTCTGCCACCCCACAGCTGGACTCTCACTAGTCCCTTCCCTCAATCAGAGGCTTTCACTCTGAGCAGCGCCCAGATGGTAGCTCATCTGTGCAGGAACCTTTGGCAACTTTTCCCCAAAGCAGCGTGTGCTCTTGCTCACGCCTGCTGCTCAGCACTTGCTCAGCAGCAGCAAGGGGAACCAAAGATGCACAGTGTTTCCCCTAAGCAGATGACAAGCAGGCAGTTCACTCATCTGACCTCCCTCAAATTGTCATAATTATATTCCCATATATTCTCCTCTTAACTCTGACCTCCTCGGCATCCTTCAGAAACCTGAAAGTGCCTGCCCTGCAAGCTGTGAGTGTGGGGCCCCTGCCACACTGCAGGCAGCTGCCCGCTCCGTGCCAGGACCGGTGTGCTCTTACCCAAATGGCTTTGCTATGCATCAGTCCCTGTGTCTCCTTCAAAAAGTGCTCATGTAAGCCAAGCTCATTCTTAGTACTGAGATGACCACAGAGTTGGTACTGAGGCACCAGCTGATTTTGGTCTCGGAGCTACTGCGGGAAAGCAGGGCCCTTCTCTGTATCTCTGTAGAGAAGGCGATCTAATGACACCCTAACTACTATTTTGCTTGGAAGAAGATAGGAGGATGAGGGAGAGAGTCCTCTCGTTTCACTGAGAAAATTTCAGGCCATCATATAGAACTGTAAAAAGTAAAAAAGACAAGATTATAAAAGGACTTCCACTAGTAAGCAAAATTGACTTCCCATTTGATATCTTCAGACAAGTTGCTTACTTGAAATCAGAAAACAATGTACACACATTACTGTAACAAGTAACTATAGAGTTTGGTTGTGTGTTTATGCCTTGCACAATAAGCAAATACAGTTTTGAAATAAACAGTTGCACTGAAATTATATTTCTACAATTTAGAAATCAAACCTAATCTAATTTGCTACAGCTGGACACCACCTGCAGAGTACTGTTTAAGTACTCTGAACGTTACGCACTTATCTTTTAAATATTGATAATGCCATTTTTCATTTATGTGACATGAAGTCCCACAGGGAATAATTATGCTAATAAACCTTAATGATTCTTGCAAATAAATGATCAAACAAAATTGCTACTGTTGATTTATATTAATGGATGCCTTTAGGAGGAGATTTGTCAGGATGTGCTGCTTCTTGAATCCCAATTCATCTTATTTAGCAGAAGAATGTACATAGTTTGTAGAACAGATTAAGTGTTTAAAATATAATGTGTTCATGGAGTTTCTGCAGTTCATAGCGTTCAAGCATTATTATCTTGCCTTATGGCAAATCTGCATTAAATGGCTTCTTTGTATACAACTTTCCTCAGTCCTTTTCCCCCCCTTTTTGTCCCTTGTGGCTAAAAAAGTCCTCCTTTTGAAGATCTTTAACGTAACCTTTCTGTTACTCATGTAAGAGTGATAATTTTGCTGTCCTAATAAATGAACACCGCTGTCGAACAACTTTGCTTTCATTGCAATGAGTCTGGAAACATTTTTTGTGCTTTAATAAGGGCATATCACCTGAAGCTAGTGACCTACAGAATTTTATAGGATATATTAAGATAAGCAGTTTCTACTTTTCTTCTGCTGTTGGATATGCTGGACATTCCCACTCTCCATCCATCTATACTTTTGAAATTTTAACCAAGTTCATTGGGAAAACATTTTACGTGGGCTTACCTTATAGATAATACATACATTTGAAAGCAATATCAATGTGCTTCTTTTACTCCTGATTATAGGGCAGGACTTATTTTAAAAGTGTCACAGGAGAGGAAGCAAAGGAAATAACAGGAGAAGGAACTTCTAGCTCCACTAAAGTTTAAATTCATAAACTTGAAGAAGAGAATAAGCACATGCTTTGCCCATTCAGGGAAACACACACATACAAGTGCAAGGTGCTGGTGGGTCAGGGTTAGAATCAGGCAGGTGGGGGAAGCAGAAACGTGCTTTCTCTGCCTTTGCAAAACTCAGTGGCCAGTGGTGAGAGTCGTACAGGTAGGCTTAATTCTTTGCTTGAACAACTTTGTTAAATTGATTGACTCCAGCAGGATAACAGCAGAATGAAGGCACAGGATATTTTTGCCTTTGAGCCAAAGAATATGGTTACGTAATCAGTAATTTCCTGAAACTTCCACCCATCCAGACATTTTTCAGGCTTTTTTTTCCCTTTTTACCTCCTCCTGCTTGTCCAAAAGTTCAGTTTCAAAGAAGAGCTAAATAGCCTTCTATGCAAACATTTTCTTTCTCTCATAATGTAACCAGCTCCCATGAAACTTGACATTGCATCCACAACAGGCTGGTTTTTCAAAGAGTTGACATGAATGGATTTTACTACTGACTGGATAATACCATCATGAAATCCAGCTGAAACATGGCACTAATTCACTCCATGCACAAGGAAACCAGTAACTGCAGCACAGGGATGAAGGTCTCTAATAATGCTCTAGAAGGAACTGGTGGTTTGAATTATTTCTTCAAAGAGAAACATTCCTCAAAAGCCTGTCAGGTAAGGCTTTTCCTTTGCAAACTAGGGGCTAGTCTTGCAGACCCTGAAAGCAATGGAAGTTCCAAACACGGAAGGGCTGCAATATTCAGATTAATTTTCTTACAGTCTGTGGACTGATAATCCTCAGATTTGTCAATTCCACTTTAAACACTGCTACGAAAGTCTTTCTTCTGTGATTCAGAGCACCAATCCTGCATGTGACGGGGGAGTTTACCAGTCCTGCATTTGTGTTAAACAATAAAAAACTTACAGTCTTGTTCTGTTCATCCCTTGCATCCTCACATAACAGCTCTCCAAGCAACTAGCGGGGGAATATTTTCAAATATGTAATTACCTTTTGTATGTGACAACAGCAAAGAGACTTTGAGCAATTAGTAGGATTGGACACAGACTGAGGATTAGGTGTGCCTGAATTCTGGCTTTGTCTAATTTGCTGCATAGCACTGAGAAAACTATTTTATCTTACTGCCTTTCTGCACGCCTGCAACAATGCTTGTCATACTTACAGAGGAGAAGCATCATACGGATTAGTATTTTTATACCTGTACTGCATCTGAATGCGTACATGACTGCCTATTAAAGGCTATCACTGCGCTATCAGGGCTCGCACTTTCCCAGATGAATGATTGCCATTCTCATCAGCCTCTCTGCTCATTGCAAATTGTAAAGCAGTATGTGTCTCATGCTCTGACTGATACAAGCTTTCCAGGAACAAGTGATGGCCCATCTTCCCAGGAGGTCGCTAGGGCAGTTTGGGCTCTCAGGGACACCCAGAAAAGAGGGAAGCACCATGCTCTCAGCCACAAAGTGCTGTGTGCAAGTCAGGAGACTTAGTCCTGTCTCTGGCTCTCTGTGCCTCTGTTTTTCTAACAACAAAATGGGGGTCAGCCATGCACACTTCAGTGTACAAAACATACAGCACTTGCATACGTGTGTGTAACTTTGCACACAACTGAAGGCGCAGTATTGACTTCTAACACTGAAGTAGTACTAATGTGACAGGGTGAGGGGTGACCAGGAACTCAATAAAAAGCTTTGATTGTGACTTGAAGTCAAAGGGATTTTGCCACTGGTTTAAACAAGGTCATGATTTCACTCCCTGTTTTATGCATGTCACGTTGCTTTAAAAAAAAATTACCTCCCCATATTACTTCTTGCTTTAGCTTATAAATAACCATTTCCTGTCCCCATATCTCTTCAGACATGTACTACAGAGATACAACTGTAGGTTAAGAAGCTCATTTTAGTATTTTCAGAGGGATTGTCTCTACCTTCTGTCTTGTCTCTGTTACCTGTTTGGCATTTTCTTACCATCCCACAGGCACTTGCTCTCCAAAGTGCTTTTTCAGGCACTCTTAGTTCCTGGCCTCAATTTTTCTCTTGTTGTGAAGCATTTTTCAGGCCTTGCCTCACTTCATTTACATGTGAGGACTATTACTCCTCTTCCTCTCTGCGAGATGCCTTCTCTGTCGGTGGGTTTGGAACGACATCTCTCATTGGGCTTCTCCAGGATCCAAGAGCTCTGTTGGGACCTTACGTCTGCAGACAGAATAAGCAAAAAATGTGAGTAACACAGTGTCTGTGTTATATGAGACTTTCCAATTGCCCCTCCAACATAGAGACTTCCTCTCTGCTTGGTTTTGTTTGGCCATGGGTGCTTGATCCAAGATCATTTTCTGAATTATCACTTACAGCCTCAAAAAAGCATTTGATGTCTAGGAGAGTAAATTGCCTGAATCAGTCTGTCTCTTGTGTGTTGCCATTTCTACTATAGATTTTTTTTCCTCCACCTTGGAATGGTGTTAAAACCTTCTCTCTGCCAGTCGCACAGGGAAAGCAGTCACTCCTAAACTGTCTCATCTCTTCTTTCTGGGTTGTTTTAAAATGCGGTGGTCAGTTGAATCCCTCTGCTCCCTGACTGACCTCACATGATTTCTAGGTGCTTGTTATTTATTTGAAATGCAGTCACTTCTTATTCTCACACCATCTGGCCAGACATGTCTGCTTTTATATACTGTAGATGTCCTAACTTAAGATACTTGATCCTTAACAGTTAGGTCATGCAGCTTAGTTAAAATTTATATATAATTTATTTACATGTAGATAATGAAATATTCACTTCCACTTCTTTTTTATGCATGTAAACTGAGATTCCAAATGGATGTCACTATCAATTTGCTAGGAATTCATACACATTCCTTAGTACTTATACAGTGGATTGATTGTATTTTAATATTCGCCCATTTTTATCTTGTCTCCCCTAAATAATTCATGTCTATTGATTACTACTTACAAGTACCACTGCATTTTGACACCAGACTCTTCACTGGTAGCTGCATAAAACAAAATTACTGTTACCTAGACTGCAAGATTCACTTTCTAAATATTTTCCTCTTTTAAAAACTGACTTGAAAGGAACAATTCATTCTTACCTACTTGTTATGTAATATGCCAGTTTCCTGAAGGACTATAAATTTTAATTTCATATCTAACTAACTGGGGTGGGGTGGAAAGAGGCAAGCCTTTTCTTCTCATGAATGTCAGTATTTCAAAAACTGATTCTCTTTGCCTTCCAGGCAGCTTGTCGGCAAACACCCACCTTGCTTGGCTCCCAAGCTGGATTAGCAAGTCACGGGAAAGGATCCTGTTACTCTGCATACAGCCTGGGGGATGAGAATGGCGCCCAACCAGTCCAGACCTAAGGTGTAGAATGGAGTCCCCCTGCACAAGTCCTTCTCTGGACACCTTGAGCTTGAGGACATAAGCTTAAGTCCTTGTAGCACCTTGTCCCCAACTGAAAGCAAGAAAACAAACAAGCACCAATATTCCAAATGTGCTTTCAAAGAGGAATGTGGCAGTTGAGACTATATAGTGAGATGTATCTTAAATAATATATAATACTAAATACCCAGTAGTCTTAGATGTACAAGATCCATCTTGCATGCCCTCAGCTACATCAGATAGAAAATTTGTCTCTTTTTCCTCAAGAAGCAGTGAAAAAAACCTGAGATTTTTTAATCCAAAATGTATGAAGCCCTCCCTAAATATTAATTTTCTGGCCAGCCCTAGTCAGTGCTAAATGACTGTTAAGGTTATACATAGACTCTACTAAGCTGTATTTTATCTCAGATTTGAACAGTTTAATTTAAACCGATCTGAGTAAAACCAGAAAAAATCCTAGACATTTGTTGACATTTATTTTCTAAATAATATTGCTAGAAATTTATAATTCAGCAATAAAATAGGCAGAGCTTACAAGCAATTGTAATAAAGAATTGAATAATAATAATAATGATGATGCTAAATATAAGCTTACTCATGTTATACTCTAAAGGCAAAGCCCTTGTAATGAACTCATAATGAGGTATGGTAGAAACATCAAAATAAGACAAGAATAACAATACCAGTACACAACAAATACTGAACCACACATTTTTGTCATTTCTACCTACATCCCAAAGATGTTTACTGTGAATTTTGTTTATGCTATGTAGGTTTCATTTAAACAAAGTTTTGAACCCGTTCCAGTTGGTAATCTTCTAAATATAAGTAGATACAGTAACTAAGATGCTTAAACATAAAGCCATGAAATAACATGACATTCATGACATGCATCCAAGCTTTTCTGTACGTCTCTTTCAGGTATTATTTTTATTGTTGATACTCTGGAAACAGTGACATTTTTTAAATAGGTCAAGTAAGTTTTAACCTTAATAAATTAAAGAATTAACATATTTATAGCATGCCATAATGTTGTTCAGGTGGACGAGCTGACTCTCATACCCTCTTCAGGACTGACAGAGGAAAGGGGGGGGGGGAAGGGGTATCCCCAGGCCCCTCAGTGCTGCAGAAAGGTTTAGTACCACTCTCACAGGAGTCATGTGGAGCCTCCACATTTTTC